AACTTCTTTGGTCAACCATGGCGAGGCCTGTTCTGAGTGGAACCTGTCCTGTGAACATATCAACATATCCAAAAATCACCCAGAACAATGAAGATTTAGACTGGAAACGAATCCCGAATGGAGGGTTTTCGTAGAGTGTGAAGATGATCCCATAAATTGATCAATGAAGGTGAATCAAACAGAAAATAAACAAAAAGACATGAAAGATACTTGGATATTAACTGTTTGTCTGATATATAGAGAGAGATATATATTTAAAATGTATCTAAACTGTCATCTTAACACTGCCTTAGAATAATCTACAATTTTATAACGTGACTGGAGGCTTCATATTTAGCATTAATTAAAGCTGTGGAAGGAAAGAAAAAGAAGCATGAGAAACCTGAAACACGGAATGTACTTTCTCTAGTCCAGTCGCAGGTTGCAATATGTCGCCAAAAAAGTCCTTGTCGCTGCTGCGCCCAAGACCGAGTGTGCTCCAAAATAAGAGTCTACACCCTCTAAAGACAACAACCAGCGAACCCATCTTGCTAGAGTGGTGGACGTGAATGGATGATGAAGAGTAGCAAATGAAACAAGATGTTGCCCCGAAATAGATGCCCATAGAGGAGCGGTACAGTCTACATATCTCTGTAACGTGTAAAGAGGGACAGCCCCAAAAAAGGGATACGAAACATCCGTCTTAGTCCATAGTGAGATAGAAAACGACACTCCTTCTGAAGTGAAGGAAAAAACGTCCAAATCAAATACTTGAACATCCGCAATCTATCAAAAAGAAATGAGGCACAACAAAAGTGTAAGTTGGTGCAGAGACAATTCTGTCCTACCTCCCTCCCTCACAGTCCCACTCCCTCCCCTGCACCCTTACAGACCTCCTCTCTCCCTGCACAACCCCTGTCTCCCTGCACAGATTTCCTCTCTCCCTCCCAGCATAGTCCCCTCCTTCCCTGCATAGCCCCCCTCTTTCACAGACTCTCTCACTCCATGCACTCTCTTCCTCCCTCTCCCTGCACAGTCCCCCCTCCCTCTCTCTGCACAATCCCCCTCTCTCTCTGCACTGTCCCCCTCCCTCCCATGCACAGACCCCCTCTCTCCATGCACCCACAGACACCCTGCACAGATTCCCTATCCCCCTTTACAGACCCCTCCATTCCTTTACAGGCCCCCTCCCTGCACAGTTCCCCTCCCTCTCCCTGCATAGTCCCACCTCCCTTCACAGATCCCATCTCTCCCTGCACAGATCACCTGCTTCCCTCTTTTGCACAGTCCCCTCCCTCATCTACACAGTCCCCCTTCTTCCCCTGCACAGACCCCCTCCCCTGCACAGACCTCCATGCACCCACATACACCCTGCACAGATACCCTCTTCCCCTTTGCAGACCCCCCTCCTTTTACAAACCACCTAACCTCCCTGCACAGACCCCTGCCCTCCTTGCACAGTCCCCTCTTCATTCACAGACCCTCTCCCTCTCTGCACAGCCCCTCTCCCTCCCTGCACAGACTCTCCCCTTTCTCCCTGCACCCTCACAGTCCCCCTCCCTCCCTGTACAATCCCCCTCCCTCCCTGCACAGACCCTCTCTCTCCATGCACCCACAGACACCTTCCCTCCCAGCATCCTCACAAAACACCTGCAGAGATCCCCTCTCCCCCTTCACAGATCCCATCTTTCACTTCTCAGATCCCCTCCCTCCCTTCAAAGAACTCCTTTCTCCCTGCATCCTCACAGGCCCTCTCTCTCCCTGCCCTGGGGGTCAAAATTGCAATCATATTAGACAGCATTTATAAATTACATTTCAAACCACTGCCCCAACAATATAGTAACTACTTAATGAAGCAGAAGTCTGTCAAACTATCCTGGCTAGGTAGAATGAACACAGTCAAAATGATATTACAAAAAACCCTATACCGTTTTGCATGCTACCTATATGCACCCCTCTCCCTTTGCAAATACCTTCAATCTGTCATACATGTCTATATCTGGGATTCCCACAAACTCCTTCCCTTGTCTCTTCTTCAAAAGCATCTGAATCGAGGAAGCATAGGTCTCCCTAATACAGTAACCTATTACAAAGCCTCTCTCTTTGAAGCAGCGATCAAAATAAACAGCCCACAAGACTCCAATGCCCCAGAACAGTTACACTATTCCCATCTACCATACTCTTTATTCACCAGTAGGATCAACTCCAAGACAAACATGGAGAATCCAACAAATACCATGAGAAGACATCCTTAACAGCCCTTAAGGCATTATCACATTATGGCTTAACTTAATGCAATGGCAAGGATTAGGCATATGAACCATTGGAGATCTTTGCCACCAAGGATCCATAAAATCCCAGAGCTCCAAACATCTTACCAACTGCCCAACTCCTTTATTTTCCAATATCTACAAATGAAAAGCATTGTTGTATCTCATGTACAGCAAGTGGGACACAGTTCTTCCCTGCAGGCAACAAACATCCAGATCTGACAGATGCTGGAAAGCACCAAACAAAAACAAAGCGCTTTATAAAGCACTGATGGAAACTTTCCTCAATTCAACATTTAATTTTTCTAAACACTGGTCTCTAGAAAATATTCAGGCCTTTGACTTAAGAGTTCATAACCTCCATAAACACACAAAAAGTATCACTCACTGCTATATGCACATTGAAGCCCATAGAAAGTCCATCTATAGTTGATATCTCACCCTTGTCAAACTACACAAAATGTACACCGCTGTCCCAAACACATATTGGCAACGGTGGAAACCAAATAGCAATATGACACACATATGGTGGGATTGCCCTGATATCAAACCATCATGGAACAAGGTAAAATATTTAGTCTCCAGCTTGAACATTACCAAACTAAGGATTGATATAAACATATGCCTGTTTCTTCTATTCCCACCCCAAATGCTCAAATCCGCTGAGTAAAAGTGAGCCATAATTTTGTTTGCAGCTAGGAACCTAATAGCACTTCACTGGAATCAACCAATATGTCCCTTCACATCTCAATTAATAGAAAATAATCACATGTATTATATTTACGAACGTATGTCCATGGAATCTGCAACACAATACAAAGACTTTCAGGAAGTGGAGTAACCATGGCTCAGCTACTATTCTCAACAATGCCTATATTGACACCAGTTTAAAACTGTCTGACTGTGACATTACATCCCAATGCATATTAGGCTTGAGAATCCTGAGCTATACTCTGGATACTTAATGTAGGCACGCACCACACAGTCCCCCACTCACACAGAATCTGGCATATTCCTGGATCTACAATCCATAATACGAATAGAATTGTAGAACGCCATACATCTTATACCCCACCCCTCCCTACTTTTCTTTTTCTTTATCCACTCCCCTCTGCTCATAAGGGGTAACATGTTAACATGTTTATTTTTTTCTATAAAATCAGAGAGGATGATACTGAATATTTGCATTGGAATACCCATATTTGTTGGCATATCGTTAACCCTAACTTGTACTGCAACTAAGTGTAACACAATTTTTTTGTATATGTATCAATACTTAGTGCTGTTTTACATGACACGTGATCAACTGCTTTTATACTTTCCATCATCATGTATATCCTCCTTCTACTATTGTCCCCACACTTAAAAATCAATAAAAAGTTGATGGAAAAAAACCTATTAGATACCATGTGTAGCTCCCCATTGGTCTTTAATTAGGGGTGTTATTGACCCTAGAGGACCAACAAGTGTAACATCCTTCCTGCTATTGTGTAGCTCCCCCCCCCTATTTTTTTTACCAGATTATGGTAAACAGTAATAAATTTCAACGGGGTCCATAGGTATATGACGCTTGATATTCTTCATTTAACTATTCCTCTTTATATCTAAGTTATTATGGGATTTGGTTGCTGCAGACATTACCTGGTTTACTTCAGTTGACCCCTCTTTAACTACTACGACAGAAGTGCTATTGTTGCAATAAGTGCATATTCTCCATTATTATGGACCTTGATCAACTTTTCAATGTAATGATGATGAATATGCTTCATGAATGCTTTTTTGTACTCTAAAAATTTCAATGAAAAGAGAAATATATAAATATTAGAACTATAGAATTGCCATAAAACTTACATGGCACACTCATCTTCTAAACCCAATTTATTACATTGTCATGGCACACTCATCTTCTAAACCCAATTTATTACATTGTCATGGCACACTCATCTTCTAAACCCAATTTATTACATTGTCATGGCACACTCATCTTCTAAACCCAATTTATTACATTGTCATGGCACACTCATCTTCTAAGCCCGAACCTCTTCTGATGAAGAAATTGTCAATTCTCATAGAGAAGCAATGAGGACACATAGTGTCTGCACAGAATTTGCCAAAACTTTCAAATCCATTGCTTTTCATAGTAAAATCTAATTGAATGATTCTCTATGTGAATGATTAGCTGTGTTCGGTGACATCATCATGCTGTACGTGATGACATCAAAAGTGAAGACTTTTGAAAGATGAAAGTAATCAAAAGGAAAACCCTCTAGCGGCTGTCTGTTAGACAGTCACTTGAGACATTTGTTTAGACAAATGCAGAAATTTCTTCCTTTTTTTTTTTTTTTTTTAAATGGCAATGGTTAACATTGTCCAGGAAAGGGGGCATCATCAATGCACCAAATAAATTACACAAAGAATAGGGGTTTTAGTATTTAGAGTGTCCTTTTAAGTTATTTCACTTATTGTCTCTTTCACATATTCTTATCTGTAGATAGCGGGCAGTGACATAATTGGGGGTTATTCACTAAACAGTATATTATGCTGAACTGAAAGTTTAATTGTAAAATTTTGTGTAAAATAGGTCTCTAACTTATTTATAGTCACTGTTTTGCTATTTCAGCCTGAGTTGTCCAATTCAGTTTTCCATGCACTTCAATTTGATGTTTAGTAAATATGCCATATTGCCTTTCCTTTTGTTTCCCCTCCTTGAGAGGTGTGTGTGGTTCAGAAGGATAGTTACTGCAGACACACAGACACACCTCCTGAACTCCGCTATATAGAATGGAGCAATTTGTTTCAAATGTCACTGTGAAGCTTTGGAATTTTCATCACGTTTACCTGTAAGAATAGAGCAGGGCTTACAGGTGAATGCAGCCTGTATCTCAGTTTACATTGTCTTAGGAGCTAGTAGAAAGCAGCCAAGATGATGAAAAATACCTTAATGCGATTTAAACTACCCATAATTTGCTTCATATGGGAAATTGCTATGATCATTCTATTTGGAGTTTTTGTACGGTACAACCATGAAGCTGGTCCTAACTGGGCAGAATTTATGAAGACACGCAATGCAACAAGTGACATAGAAAATGACTTTTACTTCAGATATCCAAGTAAGTATATGTATTTGTCATGATTAACACACTGTACTAACACGCTGCATTTGTCAAAATGTCACTCACACTTTCATATTTACTGAGAATATAAATACTGTTTCAGAAGATCTTGATCTTGAAACTGCGCCAAACCACCTGCAGAATTTTTTACCTTTGTAGAATTTGTTACCGAACACTGGCCTTGATTTTACATTTTTAGATTAGCTCTCTGAATTTTTTTTTTTTTTTTGGTAGACTTTTAAAATGATTTAATATTATCAATATATACGAAATATATATTTACAGTTTTTTAAGATTTTGATATCTTCTGATACATTGATTTTTTTATATATATATGATATATGTTTTGATATTTTAATGTGTTGAAAAGGTAATTTGAAAAGTTTTTTTCAAAAATACCAAATCATTTGCTAACTATACTAAATTGAGGCTTATGTATGAAATAATGAGTAACAAACAATATGTGATGTTTAGGGAGAAAAGACTTGTTAGGACTAAAGGGTTTGTCTATTTAAAGGATTTGTCTATCAGAGATAAAAGTAGACACATAGGAAAGTATCAGAAATGTATATACATATACAGACCCATAGGTGTATTTGCGATACATAGATTTTTTTTTCCATCTATTATTTCATGTGGGTAGATAATGTTAACATTAAGAGAAAATAAAATGTTATTTTTGGGTTCCGTAGACATTTCTAAATCACATGATCTTTAGTTTCGTCGTTTATTTTGATGTCTCCAGAGACCCCATAATTAAATTTTTGTTCCATAATACACAGCTCACAGTTATCACTTCGATGTATCATAAGTAGACTTGTTCGCAGCAAAAAAAATTTAAAAAATCAAACTGAATTTCATTCATGTAACGTTTTGGTTCGGCCGAACCACTTTGTTCACAAGAAATGTTTCAGGCAAATTGGAAATGTCAAATAAAAAAAATTAAAAAGAGCCTATGAAGGTCAATATGACTTCCTATACTATTAAAAGGAAAGTTTAACACCCCCTTATGCCCCCACCCAGGTATTCCCACTAAACACAGTAAGCAGCCAGCAGTGGTTGAGCTGATATTTGTTTTTGCAGTGTACAAATCTTAGTACTAGGATAAATATCAGTGATAGCCATGAGCATTTTCATGCCTCCCTTATGCTTCTACTTAACAGCGAGCAGCTAGCAATTTCTCACTTTAATCAAAAATTCGAGACTGAGCAGCTATTGCTGCCCAGTGGCTAATGAAATACTGGGAGGGACCTGGCAGCACAAGTTTGACCCATGCCCCCTACACTCATGGACATCGGTGGTGGCTAAAATTGAAATGGCGTGGCGTGGAAATATCCCTATCTACCCTTTGCACCCACCATGGCTGCAGATGGCGGCTCTGATAAATAATAAAATGGGAGGATTGCTAGGTTCTGTTCACCGTTTACATTCTGATACTCAAGGAATGGTGGGGGCATGTGTACTAAATATGGGAATTATATTGACCACAATCGGCTGTTTGCTTGTATTTTCCTTTTTGTGTATATTGGGGTTAAGCCTCTAGAGACCCCTGGAGTCTCTACCTGGTACCTTAGACAACCGGTCACAACTGGGCACTTGGCTTCTGCAATGGTAGCTCTGTTGTGTCCTACTGTCTTCAATTTTTTTTGTTTTTTTTCTTGTAACCAGCCAGATGCCACATGATTAACCTTGGGCCGCTAAAGTTTGTTTTTACTGTTTGCCCACTGGCTGTTAGTGCCACCAGTGGACAAATAGTTATGTTTGAAGCAAGAAACAAACGAAATTGCTTGCTCATTTTACTTTTCATTTGCGTTGTGATCTGTTCATATGGCGATTTGGCATCCAGATTTTCATATGATTCGCAGATGGACCTTTAACCCCTTAAGGACACATGACATGTATTGCCATTGAGCGGTTTTGAAAACATCATGATAAGCCACCAAGCAGAAAGTTGAGTGTTTTTTTAAAATATCTCCAGAACCCATGCTACACACCTCTCCATTATTTATGCTTTGTAGGCTAATGATAGCTTTGAAGCTTTGTATAGAGTAGAATGTTATGGTTACAGTCAGGTTTAAGGCCATGCATGTTAAGGGTATTGAAAGTAATATGGTAGGGTTTAAGGGTTAGTGTTAGTAGACTTGGCATGGCAGAAAACTTTGTTTAGACCAGAACACTTTGTCAAAAAAATATATATTTATTTTTTCGGTAAGACCGAACTTCATGCATGTGGTGGTTTGGCTTTTCAGAGTTTTGACCATGAAAAAAGATTCTGGAAATGAATCAGATGAAGAAAAAGGGCGCAAAAATGGGCAAATCAATGTATTTTAAAAGCTATATAATATAAATATTACAGTTCCATCTTCCTTGCACTCATAGGCGTGCGCACGGGGTGTGCCGGGTGTGCCTGGGCACACCCTAATCCCCGTGGCACGCCTATGGTTTGAGTCCTGCAGGAACAGCGTCCCTGCACTTTTTTGAGCAGGAACGCTGTTGCTGCAGACACTCAGCACCCCCTGTCTCACCTCTTGCCCCTGTCATGGGAGGGCAAGAGGTGATCGATCCCCCCCCCCCTCTCTCCAGCTCAGCCGCGGCGAGGGAGCTCTCTGCTGTCTGCGCTCTGCTTCCTCTCGCCGCGCGCTGATGCCGGAAGCCGGAATATGACGTCATATTCCGGCTCCCAGCTACAGCAGACAGCCCGCGCGGCGAGAGGAAGCTGGTCCTAACTGGGCAGAATTTATGAAGACACGCAATGCAACAAGTGACATAGAAAATGACTTTTACTTCAGATATCCAAGTAAGTATATGTATTTGTCATGATTAACACACTGTACTAACACGCTGCATTTGTCAAAATGTCACTCACACTTTCATATTTACTGAGAATATAAATACTGTTTCAGAAGATCTTTATCTTGAAACTGCGCCAAACCACCTGCAGAATTTTTTACCTTTGTAGAATTTGTTACCGAACACTGGCCTTGATTTTACATTTTTAGATTAGCTCTCTGAATTTTTTTTTTTTTTTTGGTAGACTTTTAAAATGATTTAATATTATCAATATATACGAAATATATATTTACAGTTTTTTAAGATTTTGATATCTTCTGATACATTGATTTTTTTTATATATATATGATATATGTTTTGATATTTTAATGTGTTGAAAAGGTAATTTGAAAAGTTTTTTTCAAAAATACCAAATCATTTGCTAACTATACTAAATTGAGGCTTATGTATGAAATAATGAGTAACAAACAATATGTGATGTTTAGGGAGAAAAGACTTGTTAGGACTAAAGGGTTTGTCTATTTAAAGGATTTGTCTATCAGAGATAAAAGTAGACACATAGGAAAGTATCAGAAATGTATATACATATACAGACCCATAGGTGTATTTGCGATACATAGATTTTTTTTTCCATCTATTATTTCATGTGGGTAGATAATGTTAACATTAAGAGAAAATAAAATGTTATTTTTGGGTTCCGTAGACATTTCTAAATCACATGATCTTTAGTTTCGTCGTTTATTTTGATGTCTCCAGAGACCCCTTAATTAAATTTTTGTTCCATAATACACAGCTCACAGTTATCACTTCGATGTATCATAAGTAGACTTGTTCGCAGCAAAAAAAATTTAAAAAATCAAACTGAATTTCATTCATGTAACGTTTTGGTTCGGCCGAACCACTTTGTTCACAAGAAATGTTTCAGGCAAATTGGAAATGTCAAATAAAAAAAATTAAAAAGAGCCTCTGAAGGTCAATATGAGTTCCTATACTATTAAAAGGAAAGTTTAACACCCCCTTATGCCCCCACCCAGGTATGCCCACTAAACACAGTAGGCAGCCAGCAGTGGTTGAGCTGATATTTGTTTTTGCAGTGTACAAATCTTAGTACTAGGATAAATATCAGTGATAGCCATGAGCATTTTCATGCCTCCCTTATGCTTCTACTTAACAGCGAGCAGCTAGCAATTTCTCACTTTAATCAAAAATTCGAGACTGAGCAGCTATTGCTGCCCAGTGGCTAATGAAATACTGGGAGGGACCTGGCAGCACAAGTTTGACCCATGCCCCCTACACTCATGGACATCGGTGGTGGCTAAAATTGAAATGGCGTGGCGTGGAAATATCCCTATCTACCCTTTGCACCCACCATGGCTGCAGATGGCGGCTCTGATAAATAATAAAATGGGAGGATTGCTAGGTTCTGTTCACCGTTTACATTCTGATACTCAAGGAATGGTGGGGGCATGTGTACTAAATATGGGAATTATATTGACCACAATCGGCTGTTTGCTTGTATTTTCCTTTTTGTGTATATTGGGGTTAAGCCTCTAGAGACCCCTGGAGTCTCTACCTGGTACCTTAGACAACCGGTCACAACTGGGCACTTGGCTTCTGCAATGGTAGCTCTGTTGTGTCCTACTGTCTTCAATTTTTTTTGTTTTTTTTCTTGTAACCAGCCAGATGCCACATGATTAACCTTGGGCCGCTAAAGTTTGTTTTTACTGTTTGCCCACTGGCTGTTAGTGCCACCAGTGGACAAATAGTTATGTTTGAAGCAAGAAACAAACGAAATTGCTTGCTCATTTTACTTTTCATTTGCGTTGTGATCTGTTCATATGGCGATTTGGCATCCAGATTTTCATATGATTCGCAGATGGACCTTTAACCCCTTAAGGACACATGACATGTATTGCCATTGAGCGGTTTTGAAAACATCATGATAAGCCACCAAGCAGAAAGTTGAGTGTTTTTTTAAAATATCTCCAGAACCCATGCTACACACCTCTCCATTATTTATGCTTTGTAGGCTAATGATAGCTTTGAAGCTTTGTATAGAGTAGAATGTTATGGTTACAGTCAGGTTTAAGGCCATGCATGTTAAGGGTATTGAAAGTAATATGGTAGGGTTTAAGGGTTAGTGTTAGTAGACTTGGCATGGCAGAAAACTTTGTTTAGACCAGAACACTTTGTCAAAAAAATATATATT